AGCTTGACCTCAATAACTTGAACTCTCTCAGTAAGATCTTCAAACTTTGTGCTCAGCCTGTCTTCAAATTCTCGAAAAAGTTTTGTGCATATTTCTTGGCAAGATTTGATTATTGTTTCTTGTAGAGACTGAAGTGATTCAGCAGAAAAACTTAAATGTGGTTGCTGAGAAGATTGGTGGGGGTCTTGCTGAGGATGTGGGGTATGATGGAGAGATTGAGGGGGGATTGTTTTGATGGGTGGATATTTCATGAGGGGAATCAGGGGATGGAGGGCTGTCTGATGGATATTTCTCGACATTAATCATATCCATTTCTGCGTGGAAAACTGCCTGTAGGACATTACAAATCTGACTTTTCCTTATATTAGCAAATAAGTTAGTGATCATCTCTGTAGTATATACAATATCATCGGCCCATCAAAGAAAACGGGGCCTTTTATCAGCATACATAGGAGCATGAATAGTAGTATGCTCCAGGAACCAAATCTGCATAAGATGAAAGAAAATTTTAGCACTCACATTGAGCCAATAAAATTTTGAATGAATTTAACAGTTAGCACTTAGCACTCACAATTAGCAGAGGTGCAAAATCGTTGATGTAACCTGCTGGCTTCTTATTTAAAATCTTGGAGGATGCCTTATTAAACTCTCCAACTAAAAACTCCCTAATTGAACTAGTCTAGTTTATTGATAAAAAATCATCTGAATTATTTGTTATTCTTTAAATCATTGAGGGGTTTTGAAGTTGTTAAGTTGAAAAAGTAAATTTGAACATAAATACATGATAAACGTTCTTAACATAGTCTCCGGGGGGTTTGCTTGTTCAACTCCATCATGTCATTCCTTATTTCTGTTGGTGTAACTAAAGTATGTGCTAAGGAATACTATGACATTTCTTCTCCTTTATTTGACAGACCAATAAGAAGGGCCACTTCATCAGCAGTGAAAGGAATAGGTTGATCTTTTATAACAAAATATTATTTTGAAATGTCCCACCTTGAGATCAGCTCATAAATAAGAGGGACCTTTTGCTCAAACTCAGGAAATTCCAAAAATTATATCATCTTTAAATATTTCAATGTGTTCTTGATTTCAGGAGTAATTTGCTGAGCAAAGTTATCACAGATTGTTCGAAACGAAGAAATATAGCATCTATTGGTAATTAGACGAACATATATATGAAAATTGTAAAAAATGAAAAATTAAAAATAAGTAAATGAGATACACACAAAAAACGCACAACATACGCAGAATATAAGCAACGGTCACGCACAGTGTACGCATAACATACGCATATATTACGCACATCACACGCACAAGAACGCACAGTGCAGGAAACATAGCAGCAAATTATACAAATGCAGAAAATACGCACATCATAAGCACTAAGAATGCATAATATATGCATAACATACGCAAAAGAACGCACATTGTAGTGAAAATGGCAGCAAATTATACGCACGCATAAA